TTTAATGTACATTATCCGACTAAGTAGGGGGCTTGAAGAAACGTCAAGGTTGACCCATTTGCAGAATAGAGGGTGAAACGACCCGACCTAATATAAAATTTCTTCCGAACTGTATTCCACCTTAGGATGACAATCTATTGATCGCTGTAGATCGAAACCATCCGGAAACCGCAAGGACTAACATTAAAGCTAGACACGAATTTTATACATCAGGTTCGATCTTTTTCGGATGCTTGTACTAACATGTCCCTGGGGACGGCAGTTGTTGACACAGCCCTTACGAACTTGCAGAATGTAAGTAACTCAACGTATGCTCACAAGGTTCGAGCAAACAGTCAAAGGCATAAGTAAAAACCGCGCCTAGTCTCCCCATTAAGGAGCCAACCTATGCAGTTGCCAAAGTGTTTAGACTATACAACAAATAAGGACTTATCTGCTTCAGTCACAGTTAAGTCAAGGTTGCTTGCACACGTCCCGCGCCAAGATGTTAAAGTGAGTTACAAAAATGTTGAAATTAGGTGATCGCACAGGACGTGCGAAAAAAAATAACGAGATAGTTTCCTATCTCTTATACCCGAGGTTTTGAGCCTCGTAAGAATCACAAAAATAACTATAAAAATAACAATTAGTGCTTCTACCTAGGTAAATAATATATAGCCAATTTAAGTAAAATAGATGAGTTGAGTTTAGGTAGAAGCACTAATAAAAGATAAAAATATTAAATTATTAAAATTCAAATAATATAAAATTATTAAAATATGTTTATCTCTTTGCTAGTAAATTAGCACTAGGTTACTAACAGTTAGCATGGGTTATAAGAAGGATTTATAAGTTAACTAAGATTCAGTCATTCAATAAGGAGCTAAAAACCAAGCTACTTTACTATTTTATTCTCCAGTAGCTTTACTACGGTGAGTTATTCTGGCAAAGGTAAAATACCACCGCTTTAATTTCTAAAGCCAGCTATTTACCTAGACTATTTTTCTAAGTGTTCTACCTAACTACCATTGTTATAGACAATTTTGAGCTTCAGTGTCTAAGCTTATTTGAATTATTTTGCTTCTACCAATTATTTATAAAGCTGAACTGTTACGTTTTCTTTAAACTATAGCTGTTTTCAAGCTTTGGTTGTTTTAATCTAGCGAAGTTTTCAAAAGCTTATCTGAGTAAGTTTAGCTACAAATTAGAGTCCCTTCTCTTTGGTCTATCAATCTCTGAACTAATAGACTTACTTTACTCAAGTAAAATTCGTTAAAATAAAGCTAATACTTCCCATAATTGTTATTTCACTTCTCTTTACCAGTCATTTAAGTGAATCCGCCTTGATTGAGGCAACTGGGTAAAAGAAGAGGAAGCTTCTATCAGACAAAGGTAATACCAAAGGGTACGCCTCAGCATTAGGTTGCATGCTCTATTTCACTTCCATAGGGTTCTATTGCACATTTACTTCAAAGTATTGTGGTATGATGAATTCACCTAATGCTCGATAACCAAGGTTACTTCCTAATTTCAGGTTACTAGTTTCTGCCTACTCGATTGAAAAGTTTGTAAGTAGGTTGTTTCACCTTGGAAAAAGTTCTATTTTGTTATAAAGAAAATAACTACCACTCTAGAAATAGTAATTAAATCATTATACCAAAGTAGAACGATAAAAGAAAGGTAACAATAATGTTCCCTCTTTTGTTTCGTAGTAGATGCTATACACCGTAGGGACTTAGTATAATATCTACTCGAACTAGGTGTTTATTAAACTACTTCTTGTTGAATAACTCACCGTAAATAATACCCTCTACTATTCAAAAAGAGCAATTTAAATCTTAGTAATAAACTGCTTCTATATAATAGCATGTTAAGACCTAAACTCACATATGCGTCTTCCGCTTGGATCTACTCTTCCAAATCCTACAAAATAATCTTCTTCGATTTTGTACCAACGCCCTCTGGCTTATAAGGAAATTGCATCTGCACTGAGGCTGTAAGATTGAATTTATCACGGAATGGTTATAAACAACGCAGAAAAATGCTTTGAACGGGCCAGCACTCAATCTAACGATCCTCAGTGGTACGCCAATTATAGAAGGCCTAAGCATCTGATGGACCTACCCAATTTAACTGACAAACAGAATACTTATAAAACTTCCTCCCTACTATTAACAATAATATTATTAATAATTGTAATAATAATAATTTTAATAATAATAGTAATAATAATTTTAGTAATAATGACAGTAAAAGTAATAATAAATAATTTGAATAATCATACTCAAATAATACCAAAAATGCAACTAATATGTGCTCCATAATGGATGGCTGTAAAAGATCAACTTTTTCTACTTCTGGAGAGTACTCTCCGACTTTTTACTACAAAGAGGATAAAGATTAAGCAGTAAAAAAAAAAGACGTATATTCTTGACTGTGGTACGCCAACTACATAAATAAAGAAATAAATAAAGAATTTTTGTCTTTCTTTTGTATGTCTATTTTTTTAGCCAATCCAAGCCCAAAACAGCATAGGTTTAATTTATCCTGAGCCAGTGGTTGGCGCACAGATCCTCATTTTCCTAAACATCTCGTTATAACTTCTAAACCATCTATTAGTGTTAATGTTATTCCTCACCTACTCATTCTCTTTTTTAACTTTTATTTATTCTGCGGTCTTGTCCTTTATAAAAGTGAGTGTTGCCCTTTACAAAACAGCGTACTTGCCTGGTTTCGTCAAAGCTTTTTGTGTTACTTTTGGAGCTATAAGTCATCATATATATTATTTATCACCTTTATTTATTTTTAGAATTCCTTTCTAACCAAATATTTTACTTATTCTCATGGATCGCAAACTTATAATAACGCTAATTTAGAAGAGTGTGCTTGTAAAGCTTCCTAAAACAGAATTTTGCTTTTAGATTTTATTGAGTACTTGTAACATTGCACTCACTTGGCAGCTATAATTCTTAAGTTTAGCCAAGCATTTAAATAAAAGGAGCTTCTGGTTTTCGTTTCCTTCAATTTTCGTTTATTTGGACTCTACAATTAGATTAAAAGAAATAGGTTAATGCTGTACAGTGTAAGTTTAAATGTATTTTGATACTGAGCAGCTCCCAGCGTATTAAAAAACTTGTTATAGATAAAAATTTATATTTTATATAATAGTGTCTTTATAAAAAAATTATTATTATTAAAAATTTATTATAATTTTGGAAAAAAGGACTTTCATCTTATTTAGTAAGCTTATTATCCTAACATAAAATTGACTTTATTTTAAAGACGCCATAGTGAAAGATGTTAAGTTTTCTCTGTATATCGCTTAAATCGTGTTATTCTTGGTAAGAATGTCGCAGTATATTAAAATGCGTGAATATTAATTTGACAGCACCACACTTCCTCATTCGCACACAAAAGAATAGCAGACTTTATGGGATGCCATAGTTATATAAAAACGACGATAACTAGAGAATTTGCTGGAATATTAGTTAGTTTAGTTCCTGTTTTATACTGTTCTTAAATTATGTTATGCTGTAGTGAGCAGGCGCCTAGGTTTTTCTTTTCGTAACTTTAAGGCACAGGAAGGTGTAATACTTTTTTATCTCTTAAAGCGAGCGCACGGAGAGAACAGCAAAGCTATTTGCCATTTTGATTGTTTTTTTTAAAATAGTGCTGTCAGAAATAAAATGGAGGTCGTAAACCGTGAATAAACTCCACTGACATGGTTATATTTCTTTACAATGAAATAAGTTAGCTTATAATATACCAAGTGCATTACTAGTCGTTGCCAGAAGTTTATTATGAAAGCGGAGACACCCTAAACAAGTCTGTTACCCACCTGTCCTTTAAAATATTTGCTGTGGCTTTCTTATTCACCTCGCATAGTAATTATTAAAATTTAGTGTAGCGCCCACCTACCATGTAACACGTATAAGTATAAAGGATAATTCATGATGGTATATTCGAATGAAGGGTCCATATTATGCTTAGAAAACAAGTAAAGTTAAGGAATGAAGGAGGAGCATTTATCATTATTTAATATTATTTACGCTTCTCAGACTTAAAAAGTTGCATAACAAAAAATCTCTACAGCTTTAACGTAGAGACAAATAATTTTCGGTATATGCAACCCAGAGTGCAAAAATGAACTATTACTAGGTTTGTATTAAGGTATATATTTTAATATAGGCTCAATAACTTTTACCTTTTTTTTAAAAAAAATAATTGTGTTGTGGGTAAATGTGCAAATTAAGTTCAGCTATTAACGTACATATTGGTTTTTTCATAAATTTCGGTACCTATTTTATACCTTGCGCTCTATCCTTCACCATCAAAGTATTAATATGTTAACAAGTAATCCCTTTAAGTTTTGTATTTATAGTTTGTCCTTTGGTATTAGTTTATATGACCTCCTGTCTCTGGTTTAAATAATAACCGTGCCTCTCATTAATCTTAGGGCTGAGCACGACTTTGGATATTTATGTTTCTATTTACCAGCTGTATAAAGTATGGTATCCATATCCTTTTTATTACGTTAAAATTTTTTTAATGAATACAGAAAACTTATTTATAGACTTGGCTTTTAAGCTAGATAACCTGTTCATTAATTAATTTATACGATTTATATATTATAATACTGAAAAACTGCCACCAAGAAGTTTTTTAAGTATAATTATAAAAGAATATTTAACGGATGCGTAATATAGTGGGACTGCAGTTTAACCCATAACTTGTCCACAACTGCTTAACTAGTTACACCTTATTACGAGGATACGTGAGCTTTTCATTCCATAAGTTTATTTCTTAATGTTCAAGGAAGTACGTTTAATAATGTTTTCTTAGAGAGTATCGACCATTCTCTAGAGTCACTTGAGAATTTCACTAAGATATTCCCCTAAAAAGATGTTCTCAAAATTTGCTTAAGAGCCCAATTATATTAGTATCGCTCCAATAAGCACATGTCAGTCAGTACAATTTGTTTTTATATCCTTTTGGCTTTTTTTGGTGCGCTCCTGCTGTTTGGTTACAGTTCGCTCGATTGTTTATTAAATTTGCCTATAACATTTTTGCAACATTGTACATCCACTAACATAGTGTCAGTTATTATTTTATTATATTATTAAATTATTATAACTTCGCTATTAGTTGACTTGAGTACAAAAAATGACGGATCGCGAATATAAGGCGGCAGGTGCTAAGGACGTTGATTCTATCCGCAGAACTAAAAAACAAGAAAGTGTTCAGCTCCGCAAACAAAAACGAGAAGAACGTTTATTGGAAAAGCGAGCTACTTTGACCCATTTAACTCCTGAAACTAAGATAAAGTATCCTCCTCCAAGTATTGAAGATCTACCCCAGCTAGCCCAGCAGGTTTCTTGGAAGGCCAATAAATACTTCTTTCTGTTAATTCTGCTTGTAATAGGTTTATTCCGAGGATCTTAACGTTTTACAATACAGCACTACTCAAATACGAAGACTACTTTCTTCGTCTAAAACCGTTCCCCCCCTTAAAAAAGTGATTGACACTGGTTGCCTGCTAATTTTATATGTTTGTATTGTATTATTTATTTTCTCTGAAGGCATTATACCTCGTCTTGTTCAGCTTATGAACTCTGACGATGAAATTCTTCGTATCGAAACGGCCTGGACGCTCACAAACATTGCCTCCGGTTGACTTTTTTAGCAGAAACAATATATAATTTGAATTTTTTTACTTTTTCCCCTGCGCGCTTTAGGCACCCAAGAACAAACAAGATGTGTGGTTGATGCCAATTCGATTCCCATCTTCATTAAACTGCTGTATGATTCAAATCTCAAAGTCGCTGAACAGGCTATGTGGGCTTTGGGTATCGCTATCCTTTACAGGATTGCACTCAGCTACTCATCTTTTCTTTTTTGAAGGGAATATAGCTGGTGACTGCCCGGAATTGCGGGATCTGACAATGAACCACGGAATCCTGGAACCCCTTATGGTGCACCTTTCGACGGCCCTCACCAACTACGAGCAGGGTGCCCTTCCGTTATTTGCGACTTTATATTTCTTACTTGGTCATTCTTTCTGGTTTAAGTTGCGTCCCACGAAGGGATTGAAAGTGACGAGGATTTCAAGGCCAATGTGACGTTAATGCGCACTTTTACGTGGACGCTCTCCAACTTGTGCCGCGGGAAAAACCCATCCGCCGATCTCCAGCGCCTTCTCCCCGCTCTTCCTCTCCTGGCGCGGTTCTTGCAGTAAGTCTCTTCGAGAGAAACAAGCCTCATTGCTTGCCCTCAAGGTTGGTCCACGCGGGGGACAAGGCGACCATTGCTGACGCCTGCTGGGCGTGGACGTTCATATCCGATCTCGGTGAGCGGCATGTGCTTTACCGCTCACGCTGTATCTAATTGCGGCACAGAAAGGGGGATCGAGGCGGTGCTTGAACATGGCGTCGCCCCCCGATTGGTGCAGCTGTTATCTTATCCGTCGAAGGACATTGTCTCGCCAGTCTTGCGCACCGTGGGTGGGTCTCGATCCGAATTGTTTTTTACTAGAGCGACTGTCGGACTCTATATGCCAGGGAACATCCTCGGCGGTGACGAAATCCAGACGCAGCGGCTCATCGATTACGGCTGCCTCTCGCATCTGCACAGCCTCATCGAGAGCAACGAGCAGTCCGTCCGCAAAGACGCCTGCTGGGCTCTCTCCAATATCACGGCCGGTACTTTTCCCCACGCGACTGCTCTCACGCGCCTTACTGGTCCTGTCAGGGACATTTGAGCAGGTTCTTTCGGCTGTCCAGGCCAATGTAGTGCCCGGCTTGGTCCGCTGTCTCAGGGACGAGGACCACCGCGTGCGCAAAGAGGCGGGTGAGCCTTCTGGTGCATACTGGCTTATGAGTCGCCCTTTTGTTACCGTTGCGGTGCAGCGTGGGCCGTCTCCAATGCTGCGCACGTGAATAACAGCCCCAGCCCGCAGTCCCAAGAGATAATCGCTTATTTTGGTACGTTTTGCTATTAGTAAGGTAGCAATTGTTTTAACTGTGACTCTTTAGTGGAACAAGGCGCCATTGGTGGGTTATTGACAGTTCTGGAGGACCATCCCGATCCGAAAACCACGTGTGTCATATTTTTGGGTGAGCAAGTGGACAGTCTGCTTTCCACGTGGCGTATACCAATATGCATCTTTCGGGCAGGACTTAAGAAGTTTCTACAGGCGGGCACTCGACTGAACACTCCAGACGGGCAAAATCCGTATGCTTTGACTTTTGAGGAGAACAACGGCGTGCAAATATTGAACAAAATAATGCAGCAGACGCAGAACGCGAAGGTCTTCTTTTATTGTTTGCGTGTGCCATACCTGTTGGTAGTAACTCAGCGCGCAGGTCGCAGACGGCTGTCAGGACCTCCTTAAGTTTTTCGAAGTGGAGCATGAAGAGGAGGCGCTGGCTCCGCAGCAGGCAAGGGAAGGGTATGGATGCATGTCTTTTCTTTTCCTTTTCCTTTTTTATTATTTGCTTCCAGATATCGTTTTCAGAGCACTCCCAACATGGGCGGCTTCAACTTTTAATGAGCTTGTCATGAGCGTTGGGGGGAAAGTAAGTAGAGGATGGCGAGTATTATGAAGTAGCGGCCTTTGCTAGATGAAAGTCGAAAAGAGCATGAGTTGGGAAACTTTGAGCCCTTTATTAATAAACCCAATAATTACTAGCGCTCTCTATTATCATTACAATAAAAAACATACTTCACCGTTGGGGGTTTCAGTTAGGGTTGCCTAGGATAACCGACCCCACAGGAAGTTTTCCCCCACCAACTGTTGGCACTATTTGAAGGCAAAGAACAAATAAGTCTGCTAACTTGTATAGAATGCCTCAAAGCATCATTGCTCATCTCGTTTGAGCCCTCGAGAGTTATAATTTATCTGCAAGTACAGACCAGTCAAAACTATTTTATAAACGTTACGTATATTTTTCAATGTACTAGACAGATAACATTAAATTTCGTGAGGGACTTTGGCAAGATTGGGTCTTGACTGGTCTTGACTGTTTTATAAACATTGCTATACAAACTTACAACATTCTTAGTCTATTTAACATTTTACATCAAGGCTTATTCGTCTTTTAAAACTGGAAATGCTAAACAATTGTGCTTATTTTTTAAATAGAAAAAATGATTGCTCTTTCTCTGTATGAGTAAGTTAACATCTTTAATTAGGGGTACATGTTCAAACTACGATACTTAAAATTATTCATCTTTAGCTTTTATCAAAAAAACTTTAACAACTTTTTATTCTTACTTTGCAATTTAGTAATATTTTGTCGTGACGATCTATTTTAAAAGTATATAAAACCCCGGCCCTAATGGAGTAGATATTTTTATGTAAATATTTTTTCCACTAGTAGAACATTAAATTGTTTAGCTCTTTTTCAAGATATATTACTAAATTCTAACGTGTGAACGTTTTTCAATATCACTTTGGGAAGCAATAGGCAAGTCCATAAATTTAAATTTATATTGTATATAAGAAAATACCCATGTCACATAGCAACGGCCTAGCGTTTTTAGTTGACTTATAATTTTATAGGTTTTTTTAATTTATTATTGAGAATAATTATGTAATAAAATTTAAATCCAAAAAATTAAAAACTTGCTAACATTAGATGATAAACAAAATTACTTGGTAGAGAAGACGAAGCTTAAACTTTTTACTGTAGGTTAGAAGAATATGATTGGGTCGTTAAAGCCAAAAAGTTAAGATATGGTAAAAATATGCGATTAAAAAATTGTTATAGCCAAAGGGTATTTAAGAAAAACTAGGTAACAATAATAAAGTTTTGTAATATAATAAACCATTTTTTTAATTAAAATTTTGGAAAAGCTATAGAGAGCAGACTAAACCGCGTATTATTAAAAAGGAGGCTAAAAGCGCTTTTAGGTGTGCGTAAAAATCTAGTACATGAATCCCTTGTCTAACCTGAAGCTAGAATTTTTGCCTCCTCTGCCTATTTCTGCAAACGTAAAACGTGTCATTGTCCTTGTTTATATTTGTGGACAAGATGAAAAGCTGCTTAAAAGGTCCTTGAAGTCCTTATATAATCAAGAACAAGCTTGTGCCGACCTCGCCAGCAATCAGTGTAATGAGGATTTACAGGACCTGGAATTTGTTTACCTTGCTGTAATAAATGGTTTTTTTACGGCCTCTGCTTCCACAATAAATTATTTATTACGAATATATGGAATTGAATCCACCTTTTATTCCGATGAAGAGGATAAAACTACAAACGTGAAGTTGGTGTCCTTGGTCTCAACCTCTGGGTGCTTGCAAAAAGTAAGAATTGCTAAGAAAAAAAAATTATTTTTAAGTTTACTTGTAACAGAGGAACCACTAGATAATTTTTACTTATTTGAATGGTTTTTTAAAGAGTTTTCAGATCGGTATATAGGCGAATACGCTTTTATTACTAGTTGCAAAGTAGCTTACACCGATGTATGTCTCTATAATCTTATAGATTATCTTCAGAGAAAAAAGCATATAGCATGTGTTTTTGGACTTCAACGAACAATGAGTCCTTATATGCAGCGTATATCCTCCAAAAACCTTAAAGAGATGTGGTACCGCTCCATTCAGATTTTTGGTAATGAAGATTATGCAATGACAACTCTTGCATGCTTCTCAGAGATCGGTATATTTCCTTATTTAGTAAGCTCTTGTGTACTGTACAGATTAGAAGATGTCACGGATGAATGTTTGCGCTTATACAATCGATTTGTTAATAATGATAAAACTCGGATGAACACTTTAAGAAGTAACATTATTTTAAGCGATCTCTGGGCTCTTTCGGTAGTACTTGCCTTGAAAATGGGAAAATTTACTAAGTGGGTTCCTTCGTCCATTTATTTTGTCGAAGCGGAAAAGACTACCATTAGTTTTTTTGTGGAAAAGGCCTTGGTTGCTAACAATACAATAAACTGTTGTGTAAACCTCCTAAGGAGGGAAACACAGACAATATTTGGAAGTTCAAAGAACTTATTGATTAAACTTTGTTTTTATATGTTACTTTTGCTAGAAGTTGTATTGGCATTCATTAAACTTTTAATTCCAGGGCTCTACATGGCTTCTCTCTACTTTTTGGGCCAGAGTTACTCAAATTATATTGTAAGCATCTACGTTGTTCTCTACGCAGCATGTTATCTTGGACACTTTCTTCCTGCAAATTATTTTAGGTTCTTTGTTATTGCTATTATCTGTAACACTATGGTCACTGGTTTTTTGATAACTTTAAATATAGCTATTGTAAGCTCAGGTATTTTAGTATTCGCTGTGGGCTTCTCTGTACTGGTTACCATTTTTTTAGCACTTCTAAATAGCTTTGAATCTTTTGTATCGTTGGTTTTTAACCTTTTTTCACAGTTATTCTACATTCTGACAACATTTTTATGGTTAAATGTATTAACATTCATAATAAAATGGACAAATAATGCTTATAAACAAAAACCTAGTTTTCGATTTTCCAACTTTATAAAATGTTGCCTAATTTTGGTAATGAATTACGCACTTTTCTTTGTAATTATATACTTTGAAGAAATGGAACCGCTAGTATTTACTTTTTGTTTTTTTTTATGCGTACGCTTTGTCCAACAAGTCATTTCGCTTAAATTTTTTTTACTTAATACTGATCAAATAATGACTAGTTCTATAGAGACAATTAAGAAGCCTCTGTTAAAGTTGGTCTGCTCGTTATTTTTCGTCCTTACAATTTTCTCCATGTACTATGGGCTGTTAACCTCACCTTGGCTGACAAATAGGCTAAGAATATACCTCCCGTTGACGGAGAATGAGTTACCCGTAAATTCTACACTCATATCAGCTAAAAATGGTATGGTGGAGCAAGTAGAGGATTATATTAGTAAGGAAGTCAGTACTTTAAATACTATACATTCAACCAACCTCTCTAAAATTGAAACCTTTCAAACGAGCATAATAACTGCCATAAACAAAAATGACATTAATGCGGATTGTTTTTTAGGACCAACAGCAGAACCACTCCCTATCCTTGAAAGCTATTTAAATTTCACACAATGGAATCAAAAAATAACAAATTATACAGTTTTTAGAAATAATTTTTTATATCATAATATTAACTCAGTTAACTTGATGAATAAAAGTAGCACAACTTTTAATATAATAGTAGGAACCTTTAATGATGGAATGTTTTCATTTAAAGAAGAGGCAAGTAAATCTTTAATAGAAGAAATGCAACAAAATATTGACGTTACTAACAAATCCATACTGATAACACAAAACATTACCAAATACATTACGAATGTATCTGGTTACGTATACGTTGGAGACCTAAAGATGGCTTATGGCATTCTCTACCTATCGTTTGAGTGGTTAACAACTAAACCTTATGAAAATAGAACTGTAATTTGGGGGCCAAGTATATTTTACCACGTACCTAACAAAATTTGGGCGTTAAGTTTACTTTGTTTTCTAATAGGGACCATGGTTTTTACAATAAGTTCATTTTCATTATTTTACTCATTCATTTGTAAAAATAAAAGTCGTGTGTACAATATTACAGCGTTATATAGTTGGATAGGTATGGTTTTACTCTTTTTAGGGACATTATTGTTTCCCTTCTCGTGGATAAAATTAAAAACGTTTCATCTAGGCTGGTGGATGAACTTAAATACAGAAAGTTATCCAATGTGTGGGGAAACTACTGGCATATGGAAAACCGGAGAGTGCTACATTGGAAGTTCTTTCATCCTAATTATTATAACGAACCTTTTGGCTATCCTTAGTTTTAGTACTGTGCGATTTACACTCGAAAAAAGTTATTTTATGACTTGTAAAAAGGCATTATAGAAGCCAGTTACTAAATAAAGAATAAAACGAGGCTATATATATACATATATCCGACCTACTTGAAATTTTTCTGCTACTAAGAACTCGTAAGTTGTGTCTAAGGCATGCAATAACAATCACAGATGATATTATATATAACTGATTAGAACGATTTTTCTTCAATTGTATAACTTAATGTATGCCTCAAAAAGGGATGCTACAACACTTTATTAAAAAAAATAATGAATACTACGTTTTAAAGGTCAACTACTTCTTACTCTAGGTTACAAAACTCCTTTGCGTTACAAAAAATTCCAACCACGTTGCTTACGTTTTTTCGGAAGAACTTACATACGTCAAAGCGTAACAATTTTTGCAGTTTACATCTCATATGTGTAAAAAGCAGTTTCGTTTAACCAGTTATTCATGTAATACTTGATTAATTGTAATTATTTTGTTTATAATAATTATAGCTAGTAAACCAAAAGTTTAATAGGATCTAAAGATCCTAATTCTGATTGTATTATTAGGATTCATGAATAACGGGAGGGTCAATACCTAGCAATGCATTTAACAGTAGATACGACAAAGGCATGCGATACATTAATTAATTTTAATATGCAAAGGATGCACCTCTTTGCATATTTAAAAACTTAAGTCCATACTTTATATACTGGAAAATTTTCGTAAGTAATAACTTTGACGTAATCGTTTCTTTTAGGATTGTACTCTTCTAGTAAGTTGCTATTATTAATCACTTTAACTAAGTTTGGTTCGAAAACATTGTATTCTGGCTTTTAACAGAATCTCTTGAATAACATTACACATCTCTTTTTGTGGCCA